TCTCCCTGTTTCGTGTGAAAACGGTCCCACCTGATGTCTGGGCTGAGCAATGAATGTAGGACAGGGAGAAAGAGGGAAAAATGTGAAGTCTCTTGCATCTGTCTCTCTCTCTCTCTCTTTTTTTTTTTTTTTTTTTGCAAATGCCTCTGCTCCACTTTTAGCTCAGTTTTCTAAGCTGGACTGGCTTTAGCCTTGCCCTTTAAACTCTGCCAGGGTGGGGTAGTTGTCAAGGGAGTCCTGTCTCCAGATTCCTACCTTGCAATATTTTCCTTAATATTGTGATTTTTTCACTTTTGTGTGCAGGAAACTGACATCCTGGATCTTATCGTAGATCTGGAGCTCTGGAGTTGTTCTATGAGCTCTTCCTTCGTGATATCACCTCCCCTTCTCACCAGAGTGTACCCTACTTGGTTTTTGCTGCTATTGCCCAAACTGAAGTCTCCCCAAATATTTCATCTTTTGTAAATAATATTGTTTTCCTGATTTCCTTTTCAGAACTTTTTTTTATCAGTGTAAAGGAATCCAAATGATTTTTGTATGTTAATATTTCCCTTCCACTTTGCTGAATCTATCGATTTCTAATAATTTTCTTACAGACTCTGGGATTTTCTAAGTATAGGATCATATCATCTGCAAAGTTTTACTTCTTTTTGCCAATTTGGCTGTCTTTAATATCCCTTGCTTGCCTTATAGCTCTAGCTAAAACTTCCATCACAATATTGAATGTTGTTTTTAAGTGTTGTTGAGTCAGTTCTGGTAAACTTGAACGCTGACCTTGCTGTTCAAATCAACTCTATAGTCCACGCATTAACCCACAGTGCCACACCAGGTTAGAAGTGGTGATAAAGGTTATCCTTGGCTGGTTCCTGTTCTCAGGGGGAATTATTTCAGTTTCTCACCATTGAGAGTGATATGGGCTGCTGGTTTTGTAATTGTGTCAGGAATTTCTCTACTATTCCTATTTTGTTAAGTGCTTTTATCAGGAATGAGTGTTGGATTTTGTCAATTGTCTTTTCTGCTTCAATTGATGTGATTATGTGATTTCTTTCCCTTTGTTTTATTTGTGTGATGAATTACAATGATTATTTTTCTAATATGAAACCATCCCATCATACTTCCTTTGAATCTCAGTTGGTTATGATGGATTTTATTTTTTTGATATATTGTTGAATTTTGTTGAGAATTTTTGCATCTGTGTTCATGGTATTTGACTATAATTTTCTTTCTTAGTGATGTCTTTACCTGGTTTTGTTATCAGAGTTATGTTTCATTCTGTTTTGCTTAAGCTCTTATAAGTCAGAACCAACTTGATAGCATATAACAACAAAAAGAAATGCTAGCTTATCTCTATTTTTATGATCTCATATTTTAAAACTTACCTTCTTTTTTAAAATAATATTTTTTAGTGAATATGAAATGACAAAAATAATCTGTGCTGTTAAAACACACTAGCAACCATCCAAACTAATGGATATAAACAATATCCTGTGATGCTGGATTACTGTTGCCTCTGCAGATAAGTATGCTATCAACAGTTTTACTTGGTAATCTTTTTGGTAATTAGAAAGCAAAAGTAAAAGAATAAATACTAATAAATGGGGACAAAAATGAAATGGAAGCCTAAAATAATCTTTTGATTTTCTCTGGTTGCCGTTACAGGACAAACAGCCACTGTGCTTTCTGCCTAGCATGCAACTAGATGAATTTTTTTTTTTTTTTTTTTTTTTTTTAGTCTGCTTGGGAGGAGGTGGAATATTAATTCTAGATTTGTAATGAGGTTTTGATTTAGTTATAGTGCCAGAGTAACATATGTCAAGCAAGATTACTCAGTCTGTTTCTGGGAATTTGTGAAGAGGCCTCAAGAGGCAGGAAATGACATTTCAAAGTGGAGAAGCACAGGGAGTTTGAGAGACTAATAGAAGGCAAAACTGTGCAGGTAGTTTGAAGTCATTCACACATGAAGGGCCATGTGTGTCAATAGAGTTGCCTTTAAAATCAGTGCACAACTGACTATTGACAAGAGCTGCATTTTACTCTTGATTTTCAATTTTTCTCTAAATTCTTATTTTTCTGAATTCTCATAGGTTATGACTGAGTCTGTGCTTTGACAGATTGGTAGTTGCAGAAACTCTTTACCAGTGATTATGGATTATTATTACCATTTATAAGATGATAAAGATTTATTTTTATTTAGCCATGTTGGAGTATGAAATCCCTACCACTACATCTTGGACATCATAGACAAAATGTATTTATAGTACAAGACAGTATAATAATCAGAAATCAGAACTTACTCAAAGTAAAGCTCCCACCCTCTTCTAGCACCAATTTCCTATAAAGTAGAGGGGTGTGATGGGAAAGGGGAACATGGTTGGTTCCTTCTCTATTATCCCTGGTAGGTTCTTTCCACTCACAACCTGCCCCTCAGCTTAAAATGGTGTCGCTTGACCTCTTCAGGGAATTTGGGGAAGAAGAAAAGGCAAGGTGATACATTTGTGACTATTTAGTTAAAACAACTCTTTGATATCTGGGTCTCTGTGAATTTTACTAGCTTTCCATTTTCTTATTACAATATGCTACAAAGCAGGCTTGGGGGATAAAATTATTTTAAATTGACTGCAAGTCAGGGCTTTCAACAGGTTTTCCTGGTTCAGACACTGATGATAAAACAAATCGGGAATGACCCTGAATTCGAAAAATGTGGTTGTACAAAATGGTAATTGGAATGAGAAAAACTGTAGGTCAACACTATTCTAGAAACCCTTTCCTAGAAAACAAGGACAGCGTGCATGTTTGCACAGCAGGAAAATCTTTTAACTAACAGAGTGGGAAGCAACAGTGTCCAAAGATGGCGGGCAACTCCTTTGCTTTGAATGTGCATAGCCCACCACAGCCCGGCAATAATCTACTGTCTTGTATCAGGCTCCTGAAAGGGTTCTTCCAAATCTCTCATTCCAGAGTTTTAGTATATAGTATATCCCAGGCTGGGTATCATTCTATTACATCTACATTTTACAAATTCAAGTCTGTTCTGGCTTGACTCATTCTGGCTTCTTTTTGTGTGTGTGTGTGTGTCTTTCTTTTGTCTCTCTCTCTCTATAATTTCTCATCATAAATCATTGCCTTCAAGTCGATTCTGACCCACAGTGACCATATAGGATAGGGTAGAACTACTTCATAGGGTTTTTATATCTGCAATCTTTACAGAAGCAGACTGTCCCTTATTTCTCTCCCACAGGGTAGCTAGTGGGTTTGAACTACCAAACTTTCATGCAAATAGGGATAAGCCCGCCATGTTGTCTTCTTGAAGCTCTTGTTAAAAGAACAGAAAATGAACCTCCACTCACCTCTTTCAAGAAGAGTTGTTCCTGTACTTACAATACCTGATCACTAGTTATAAAGTAATGCTTTCTGGAGTTTCCAGCTTAACTCCTTTTGACTTTTTTTATTTGTTTGTTTAACTTCTTTTCAAATCTTGAAAGGGAGTAGACCGTTTAGGAGAGCAAATCTTGCCTGCAAGTCCTGTTTAATTGCTTAGGAAACTTCCTTTAGAATATGTGCCACAAAATGCCTTGGGAAAGTTAATAAGATAATCTCAGAATCTGAGACAGAATGTCCATGTTTTAAATGTCATTAAGTATTGTACTTAAAATAAATTATCTTTGATGTACTTTGTTCTAAAATTTTAGGTAATTTCATAATTTTTTTCTCTAATAAGTCAGAGAAAGAGCAAAAGCTTTTACTTGCCTTCTTCCTAGCTAGCAGATCATCTCTTTCGATATATACCAAGTGTGGATTTCACATTCTTATATTTATTCAACCTCATTAATGTTAGAGTTAGCAAAAATTCCCTCTAAATTTGAATACAAATTTGTAATTTAAAAAACATTTTCATTTTCATTTCATTAAACATTGACCACTATTTGTAACAGTTTTCTTTTTTTTGAGATGTAATTTGCATCCCATGTAATTCACCCATTTAAATTGCACAATGAAAAAAAACACAACAAAACTGCCCGGTACCCTTAGTTATCACTACCAGAAGTGCCTACGTCTCAACCCTAAACAATCACTGATCTACCTTCTGTCTCTATATATTTGCCTATTCCAGACATTTCAAAAAAAATACATGGTGTCTTGTAACTGAATTCTTTGACTTTGTTTTTTAAGATTCATTCATGATGTAGAATGTATTAGTATTTCATTCATTTTTATGGCTTATTAATTTTATTAAGAATATGTTGTTGTTGTTTATTATTCTTGTTAAGTGCCATAGAGTCTGTTTTGATTCATAGTGACCCTGTATAGGGTTCCCAAGGGAGGGCTGGTGGGTTTGAACTGCCAACCTCATGGTTAGTTGTCCAGTGTTTATCCTACAGCACCACAGACTATATCCGGTTTAATTTTGATTGATGGCAAGGTCTAGGTAGCATAGATTCTTCATTTGCACCTTTTTGGTGGTCTGGCACTACTCTGGTTTCTCAGAAGGTGTACTGGGTCCAGTTTCCTGGAATTGTTGATTCAAGTGCTAGGTGTTGGGATGTGGTTGGGTTGGCCATAGGTTCCTACTCTGTCCCTAACACCCCTTAGGCTTACATTTTTGCTGTTAAGTGCTGTCAAGTCATTTCTGACTCATAGTGACACTGATTAGGATTTCCAAGGAATAGATGGTAGGTTTGAACCCCCAACCTTATGGTTAGCAGTCCAGTGCTGATCCTACTGTGTCACACCAGGACTCCACTTACGCTTACAGCAAATATTAATAAGTATTTGTGAGTCATTTTATGGATGTTTTATGAATTGTAGACAAAATGTGTGGCTTTTCCCAGGCATCAGATGATTCTTTTAATAAATGAAACATTGTTCACTTGTCTTATACATTTTTGAAACTCTGAAAATTCAAATTTCTAAATAAAAATGAGTTACACAAAAGTTGAGAGAATAAAGACAATAATTATGAAATTGGATGCATAATGGATATTTTTATGATAAATGGATGTTTACTTTTTAATAGTATGCTTAGGGAAGCTGTGATGGCGTCGTTCACATTTGGGATATTCAATTTTCCCTTCCTTACAGGTAGTTCGAAATGACTGTAGTGGCGTTTTGATTTGAAATGATGATTTACACTCAAATTCAATAATATCCCCTGTTTTTGCATATATCTTTTTGTTATTTGTCCACTTCAGCTGTATGTTGTTTTTGTTCATATTTTCCTCAGATATTACACATGCATCTGAAAGAAGAAATGGCAAAATAAAAATAGCTAATAATTATCCTTTCCTTTTACAGAACAATGAGACTGTATTTAGAAATAAATGAAATGGTGAACTAACCATATTATCAATATTTACTGAGATGTTCCAGATACTGTTTTTAGCATTTAATATGTTCTCTCTACACACCATATGTGTAGGAGCTCTGGTAGCGTAGTGGTTATGAATCGGGCTGCGAACCTTAAGGTCAGCAGTTTGAAACTACCAGCTGTTCCACGGGAGAAAGATGAGGCATTCTGCTCCCGTAAAGATTTACAGCCTTGGAAACCCTGTACAGGGTCGCTATGAGTCGGAACCGACTCCACGGCACATAACAACAACAACTACACACCACACAATATTTCCCTTGCATGTGTTGTTGGTAAAGTGCCTTTGAGTTGGTTCCGACCCACAGTGACCCTGCATAGGGTTTTCCAAGGAACGGCTGGTAAGTTTGAACTGCTGACCTTGCAGTTCAAACAACTCTGCAGTCCAGCACATTAACCCACAGCACCACATCAGGTCACATGAGTAAATGGAGGCACAGAGAGGTTGAAGATTTAGATCCAGAACATGGACTCTGCTATCTTGATTTCACAGTCCACTGTTAATCGCTATGGTTTGCTCGTCTGAAAGCACGCATCAAACAGAAGTTAATACAAATATTTTATATGAGTCCCTGTCATATGCTTTCTTCACCCAGCTCAGAATTCTCTTTTACATAATAACTTCACAACATCCACAGCCCAAACACTGTATATGTATTAACATCTTACTAAATATTACAGTAAAAATAAGTTGTTGTTGTTGCTTTTAGATATATAGTATAGAATGTCCAAATTGGTTCTAGGACCAATCATTTCTTTGAAGAGTTATCATAGCATATTCTCAAATATAACTATTTAACAATGAGACCAAAATGTTTATAAACTTTTACATTCCTCATTCAGACCTCCCTTTTCAGAGGGTAGGAGCCTTGGTGGTGCTGTGGAGTAAGAATTGGACTACTAATCATAAGGTTGTCAGATTGAACCCACCACCCATTCCATGACTGTAGGAATCAACTCAATGGCAGCATGTTTGGTTTTGGTGTCACAGAATACTTATCTGTAGATTGTAACTTTTATGAAAATTGATCTGTATAGAAAAGCAGTGCTGCCCTTGCCCCACTGGTCACTGGTTCTACTTACTTGTTCTTAAAATTCAATATTTAAAAATTGAGAAATAGCATTCTCCTGAGTAGAGAATACACTTTGGCACAACTAAGTCACATATTCCCTTCAGTGCAGTCACTAACATTGGACATTATTCAAAAGATGTTATATAAGCTTAGGGTTCAACTTAAGGAAGTGTTCTAAGAAGTACAGCCTTGGAAAGGACCTTATTTTTGTACCTAGGTTTATCCATGTCCATGAGACTATAAGATGCATAGCCAAAATTTTCCAGATAATTTGTAGCAGGCCAGTCCCTGGACTGCAAAGAAGTTGACATTCTTCTTCGCTGACATTTTTATAGGAACAAAAAGCTGTATAGCACGAGGTTTCCAAAATATACATGCACAAATCCACTACCATCAAGTCAATTCCGGCTCCCAATGACACTATAAGAATGAGTACTCTTATGGAAGCAGGGTGCAGACAGCCTCATCTATCTCCTATGTAAGAGTTGGTGGGTTTGAACTAAGAACCTCATGGTTAGCAGTCCAGCAGTCCAACACTTGACCTTCTATGCCACGAGAGCTCCGTACATGAGGCTCAGTACAGGGAATTTGGAGCTAGTTTGCTTGTGTCTGTATCTGAGCTCCACCAAATACATATTGTATGACGTGGACAAATTATCAGACTCTCTGTGCCTCAACTGTTCTGTCTGTAGGCACAAATTGATAATAACACTCACCTGATAAGATTTTTTAATATAAATTTAGGTTCATTTCCTTTTATTACTATTATAAAAAATATCCTTGTACATTTATCTTTTTATACTTGCAAGAGTGCTTGCATAGATAATATAGGAATTTATAGAAATAAAATTGTTAGAATATATTATGTATGCTTTTAATATTGTTTTTGTTGTTGTTGTTGTTAGGTGCCATCGAGTCAGTACTGACTCATAATGGCCTTATGCACAGCAGAATGAAACAATGCCTGATCCTGGGCCAACCTCACTATTGTTGCCACGCTTGAGTCCATCAATGCTGCCACTTAGCCAATCCATCTTGTTGGGGGTCTTCCTTTTTTTCTGACCCTCCACCTTACTGATGGCTGTAAATGTTTTAAGTCCTCTTCACTTTCAGCAAGCAAGGTAGTATCATCTGCATATCACAGGTTGTTAATGAGTCTTCTTCCAAACGTGATGCCACATTTTTCTTCATTTAACCCAGCTTATTGGATCATTTGCTCAGCATACAGGCTGAATAAGTATGGTGAAAGAATACAATCTTGTTGCACACTTTTCTTAATTTTAAACCATTCAGTGTTCTCATGTTCTGTTCAAACAACTGCCTCTTGGTCCAGGTACAGATTCTTCGTGAGTACAATTATGTGTTCCGGAATACTCATACTTCACAATGTTGTCCATAGCTTGTCATGATCCACACAGTTGAAAACCTTTGTGTAGTCAATGAAGCACAGGTAAACATCTTTCTGATATTCTCTGCTTTCAGCCAAGATCCATCGGACATTAGCAATGATATCCTTTGTTCCACGCCTCTTTTGAATCCAGCTTGAACCTTTGGAAGTTCTCTGTCAATGTATGTTTGCAGCTGTTTCTGTATTACCTTTAGTAAAACTTTAATCATAAGAGATATCAAAGAGATTGTCCAATGATTTCCACATTCCATTTGGTCACCTCTTTTTGGAATGGGCACAAATACAGATCTCTTCCATTCAGTTGGCTGGATAGTTGTCTTCCAAATTTTTTGGCATAGTGCCTCCTGCGTTGCCTCACTTTCTTGAAAGATCTCAATATTGTCTTTAATATTTAATAATTCTTTAACAGTGTGTGAAGAATGTGCCTAACTACGCATCTCTTTGCCCCTCCTTTGTATTATAATTTTTTCCCTTTTCCCAATTTCCTAGTTAAACATTGATGCTTTAGTGTTGGAAGCACCTCAGGAGAAAGGCCTGTGATATACTTCTGAGAAATTGACCACTGTAAACACCATTCTGATAAACATGGTGTCACTGTGAGTCAAAATCACCTTAACAGCAACTGGCTAACTGGTGTATACTTAATAACATGTAGTTCGCAGTTTGGAGCAGTCTGAATACATGTACTGGAGTCCTTGTGTAGAGGAGGAAGTTAGGGTGAAAAGAAGGAATGGTGGAGATTTCAGAAATGGCTTGACAGCTCTCCTGTTTAATTTCCCTTCCTGGCTAGAAATTTTATCAACATGCAAGTAAAAAGCCATGTGGGTAGAAGTTAACTAATGTTCTATCAGGAAAAGCTTTCATTTTACAAGTGGGGTCTTATATATTAGTAAAAAGTAGCTTTCCTTTATAACATGAAGGTATTTAACAATGTAGGACTAGAGTAATATACTGAATTATTGATAAATCCTGTCCTTATCCTACACCATAAGGTTGGTGGCTTAAGTTCAGCAGTTCCTCCACAAGACAAAGATCAGGCTTTCTGGTCCCACATTTACAACCTTGGAAACCCTATAACAGGGTAACTATGAATCATAACTTACTTGATGGCACAGAACAGCAATAAGAAACTTACTTGTATTTCTTAAAGAAATTTGTTTGTACTTTGTTAAAAGCAAATTTTCAAATATTTTACTTTAAATATTTCTATCAGATAGAATAGTTTTCAGTGAATTAAGTTTTGAAAATGTAAAGATCATTCTACAAAATTAGTCCGTGAATATTTATACCATGAAAATAAATTCTCAGACTACAGAAAAATCTAAAGAACTTACCTATGCATGTTGGTGCTTCTGACCACTGTCCATCTATGCATGTTACAAATGGGGAGCCCCGGAGTTCATAGAAGGACTGGCAGAGGTACTTGACTGTAGATCCTGGAGGATATACTGATAATGGGAATGACGTGATATCTCCATTGTCAATAGATGGAGGTGGCCCACATTGCTCTACAGATTCTGAAAAATAGCATTTCCTTTGTTGAGATCAAAATCAGTATGTTGTTTACAATGAACACCATATATGATATACAGCTATAATATCTTATGTCTGAGAGCTAAAGTGACTCATTAAAGAATTTCTATCATATACCATTCTCCAGGACAATGGTTATGTTATGCAAATAACATGTACCTGTCAGCAGATGTTTATAAGCTTTTAGTTTTACTAAAAATGTGTTACAAACATTTCTGTTCTGTATTTACTTACTTTATTTTTCTGATTCCAAATCATATCACAGGCTTCATGGTTAATAAAGGTTTCAATCACATGCTAAGATTGCCTGGGATGCTTTCCCTTGTATTGATTTATCTCCCTATATATTTCCCAAAATATCGATATACAGTAGATGAATAATTTTATCCCAAATAACTTTTACCTCTTGGTCATGGAGTTACTGTGTCTGCTCTTACCTAGGCTGCCACCTTTTTGTGTGGGGCTGTAGGATAAGCACTGGACGGCAAGGTCAGTTTGAACTGCAAAGTCGGCAGTTCAAACTCACCGCTGCTCCCTAAAAACGCTATGGAAGGTCACTATGATTGGGAACCGACTTGATGTCACTTAGCAACAACTTCTTCCCTGTAGAGATCTGGTGTGGCATTGTAGGATAAGCATTGGACTGCTAACCACAAGGCTGGTTGTTCAAACTCATCAGCTGCTTCTTGGAAACCATGTACAGATCACGATGAGTCAGAACTGAGTTGATGGCACTTAACAACAACAACACATTCACTCTAATCTAGTCAGGGACACTACTCTATGAACTAGCTGCTTTCTTCTGTATCACTGATTTCTCCATCTACTGAATCATTTTCTACATCATATAAACGTGCTACAAGTTTCAGAACTTGATATATAAAGTGTTGCTCTACCTACATTCATTCTTAGCTATTATCTTATTTCTCTATTCCCTCTCAGAGCAAAATGAAAAAAGTATTCCTTGGTTTTATTTTCTTGGCCAATATCATTCCTTGAACAATTAAGTATTCACTTTGTTGAGATTAAAAATCACATGCTGTCCATTTCTGCATGTCACAAATGGGGAGCCCCATTTGAAGGACTGGCAGAGGTAGTTGACTGTAGATCCTGGAGACTGTGTGCTGTTGAGTTGGTTCTGACTCATAACAACCCTGTATATGGGTTCCTAGAGCAGTTGATGGGTTTGAACCACCAACCTGTGATTAGCAGTCCAATGCTTATCCTACAGTGCCATATTAGGTTTTTGGTTTTTTTTTCTTGTGAATTATATGATAGTTTACATGAGAGAACTTTAGTTTACATTCATTCCATTGTATATTGTTTCATTGCCATGGTTCCAATCCCCTCCATGCATCATCAACTGACCAAAGGGTATACCCTACAAACCCGCCCCCTATACTTCCACACACACACACCCCACCCCCACGCCCAGTCTTCAGCACACAGACCCTCTCCCTTTCTGGATCCAAAGTCTCCAGCTGCTTCATCACTCCACGTCATCATCTCTGCCTCCATCTCAGGCATCGGTGTTTCTCTGGGTAGGGTCCCACTCTCGGCTCTTCTCCATTGATGGTCCTAGAGACCTCCGCTCCTAGACTGGAGAATTAATCACCCCCTTCCTTGCTACAAAACATCTACCTTTACATTTCCAACCCTCACAATCAGTCCTGATAACAATTATTCACTATAGTATCACAAGTGACTCATCTGCATTTCATTTCATCCACTCCGCCTAGACAGACTGGATAGTCCTCACTGGAGATTCTGCCTTCCTCCATGCCCTCTAGCAAGCCAGTCACTTCTTGCCTTTGTAGTTCGCCCCTCCCCCCAACCCATTTGAGTATCCAATGTCCAAGTTGTCCATCTCTGTCTACTCTGTGTGTGGAGGGGGTGGGAATGTTTATTGCTGTAAGGATTTGTTCCCTCTTTTAAGTAACTGCATCCATAGGTATAGGTCAAGTTCATCAAATTGTATCAGATCACTCTTTTTTTTCCTCTTCTTTCTTCTCCTGGTTGAGCTCTGATCATCCAGTCATCCGGACCAGGTCACGTGGGTACCATCTGCAAGTGTGGGCATTCTTGTGCACATGTTCTCTCTTCCTATCAGCTGGTAGCTTCACTTTCCACTCTAGTCCTCTGTGGCCACGCCGCTGACTCTGGGCCCAGGAGTCCCCAGGTCTCCCCACACTGCTGGTCAGCCAGGTCCCAATCTGGGTCCACAGAAGCCCACCGAACATTGTAGGGCTTAGCTTGCCGCTTCATTGCCGCTTTTACCCCACTTCCCCCTATAGGTTATGTGTGTGGTCACCAATCAGAGCGTGTATTTCCACTGAGTCTTAGTCTTGGAAGGGGGTTTACAATGAGGGGACCCAACCACTTGCCTTGATGTTTCCTGGGGAAGTGATTTGTTTGTTCTTGTAGTAACAGTCCATCTGCCTCTATTGTTTTGTATTTTTCCTGTAGGTCTTTCCTTCAAGAAGTATCTTCTGTTCTTCTAGCTGCTCCAGGCTGGTATGCTCATCTTTTCAAGTGGAAATTTCTCATCTCTGGAGATCTGGATGTGGTTCAGGCTTCTACCTATAGTCTTATGTATTGCAAAGGCTTCGCAGGAAGCTTCCTTCACTGGGCATGCTGTAGCCCCATTTTATGTATTCCAATCAGTCAAAGGCAGAAGATGGACTTACAAGCCTTCTATGGTGATGTTTCTGACTATTCCTTTCTCTCCCCCTACAGTGTCTACTCTATATTATAATGCCAGGAAACCCAAGATTCAAAAAACAGCCAAACATTTTAACACCATTCCCCCCTCCCCCATTCCAACCATGACTCAATCCCTGTATCCCAGAGCCCTGCAGTTCCAAGGCTGTGCATATACCATCCTTTATGTCTGTCCCACTTAGCCCATTCAAACATGCCCAATTGTTCTCCCATCTGCCCCGTTCCTCCACTTCCCTCTCCCTCCCTGCATGTTGCCCCCCTCCCCAGCACCCAAGCTCTCCTGTGTCCAATCCCAGCCCTGCGCTCCACCCTCTCCCCCCTCCCCCCACCCATCACCAACTTCCCAGCAACCAACAAAGACTTCCCCCTACCCCCTTTTAGTATGGTTTCTTTTTCTTAGTCTTTTACAGTAGTGGTCCTATGCAGTATTTCTCTTTTTGTGACTGACTAATTTCACTCAATATGATGTCCTCAAGGTTCATCCATGTTATGCGGTGGCTTGCCGCTTCCTTGTTATTCTTCAATGTAGCATAATATTCCATTGTGTGTATGTACCACAGTTTGTTTATCCATTCTTCAGTTGATGGGCACTTTGGCTGCCTCCATCTTTTTGCTATTGTAAATAGTGCTGCTATAAACATTGGTGTGCATATATCTTTTTCTTGTGGGTAAATACCAAGTAGAGGAATTGCTGGATCATAAGGTATTTCTATTTTCAACCTTCTGAGGAAACGCCATATTGCTTTCCAGAGAGGTTGGATGATTTTGCAGTCACACCAGCAATTCAGGAGTGTCCCAGTCTCTCCACATCCCCACCAGCATTTATTGTCCCCTACATTTTTCATCTTTGCTGTTATTGTTGGTGTGAGATGATATCTCATTGTTGTTTTGACCATATTAGGGTTTGAAACATCTCTAACAACTCCTAAATTTATATCTTAGTCCCAAGCACTCCTCAATTGCCCATTTCACATCTCAATCAGAATATCTAATAAATATGTTTAATAAATTTGTGTATCCATAGTGGTCTCAAAACTTGTTTCTTCTATAATAACTGCTATAGATATCTCTTGGGAAAACAATGAAAAAAAGTGACAGATTTGGGTACATAAAAACAATTATTGTTTCGAGTTGTATCATAGATAATGTGGCAAGTTTTTGTTACTGTTTGTTAGATAATGAAAATAGTATTATTAATCTCTTTTTAAATTACATTATTTAGAAAGAAAATACCAACCAATACAATGTGGTAATGACTGCCATCGTCCATTTTCACACACAAGTTCTTTAGCTTCTTGAAGTCGATAATTTTCTTTACAGAGAACAGCTATTTTGTCTCCATCCTGATAATTCACTGTGGTTCTCATATCCTGAGCATTAGGTATCTGAGGTGGAGGTGGGCAGAATTCCACTTTTTCTAGAAAACATTGTAATTATTTGATTAATAAAAACTGGGGGGAAATGGAGTTCCATTTCAGTGTAATGGAATATCCAATAGCAATATATATTTGACACTATAGTAATAAATTTACTTTACATTCATATAATTTCGTTTTATAAAGCATTTTTTTGTGATGTCACTGTTTATTTAAAGTATCCCAAGTGCTCTCTGTATCTCCTATCTATTATTTCTGTCCATACTCTTGCATGATTTACATACAAATCCTTTAATTTGTTTTTTAGTTATTCCACAAGACTCAAAAAGTTTATGCATATCTGATACAAATAAGTTAGACCTGAAAAATAAAAATGGCAATAGGATATATTGACCAAAGTAGGAAAAAGAATTATGATAGTACCATCAGAGTATTCCCTTAATAAATTAGCTAACAGTGATTCTCAATAGGTAATTTTCATCATTCTTATTTTTTCATGGATATTTCTGAAGCGGTGATGAAACAATGAGAATGACTTTCTTGTATTAGAAATTCACTATTTCTTGGTTGCTTGTATCATTGGCTTGGCTTGTTCATAAGAAAAAAGTTTTAATGGTCACCTTTGATGTAAAGCATCTGAACCACAGTTTCACCTCATGACCTGACAGCCCTCTGTAAGCCCCTTTTTCCAGAGTAGGGCTGTTGTTCTCTGGCCTTTCCATTACTGTTTCATGCAGTACAGGTTTTCTGCAGCACATTTTTTTCTGTTTTCTAGTTTTGATATAGAATTTCCAGTGTATGTCAGGTAAGCTTCATAGCGTGTGATTTGAGTGGTAGCAGTTTCCTCATGCCATGGATTGGAACAGTAGCAGCAACAATGTGTTCAA